TCGACTGCTCAGAGCAAGAGGGTTACAACTCAAAATTTTCGATGTTTTAGTTATTGTACTTATGGGAATGCTTGTATCGAGTTCTATCTTATGTATAAAGGTTATATCTCTAAATGGCTTATTATGGCTCTGGGACGTACATATAACAGTTTTGCAATATGCTAATACACTCTGTTATTGAATTCAAGAGGGTTACATTTTGAGTTTTAACAGTTTTCAGCTTTCAATTAATTGCATTCTTGGTGAAAGAAAGTTGCATATAAAGTTGCAACTCTTTTGCATTCTAAATCTATCTATATATATAACCCAAAGACCACTGATGGAATAATAGAAGATGACTTCCGGGGAAAACATGAAAGCAGAAAAAAAAACTGATGAGGAAATACTGAAGAATGTCAAAGAACACATACTGTCTTTTGAACGTGTTGAATCACACTATTGTAGAAGAAATTCAACCAAACAGTATTTAGATGGCAGCTTAAACATTAGTGAAATGTATCGGCTATACACAGACTATTGCAGAGAAAAAGAATTACCACTTGCTAAAAAACACATTTACTCAACGGTATTTCATTCACTTAATCTTTCATTTCATCAGCCGAAAAAAGATCAGTGTTGTATATGTACTGGATATAAGAACAGTACAGATACAGAGAAATTACAATTGCAGGACAATTATAACACACATATAAAAGAAAAAGAAATGTCAAGAGCTGAAAAGACTAAGGACATTGAAGCAGCAAAACAGGATACAAATAAAATTGCTTGCTGCTTTGATCTCCAAGCAGTTCTCCCTTCACCTTGTGGTGAGTGCTCTTCCTTATACTACAAAAGGAAACTCTCATGTTACAACTTTACAATTTATGATATTTCAAACAGTAAGGGCCACTGTTATTTTTGGCATGAAGGCTTGGCCAAACGAGGTTCAAATGAAATTGGAACATGCCTCTATAAGTTCATTACTTCATTGCCCAATACAGTTAATGAAGTAGTTTTGTTTTCAGATAATTGTGCAGGGCAGAACAAGAATAAATTCATTGCTTCATTACTTTTATACTGTGTAAATAATATAGACCATATTAACACTATTACTCACAAATTTCTCATTCAAGGGCACACACAGAATGAGAATGATTCAATGCATTCCACCATTGAGCGTGAAAAACGAAGAGTTGTTAAAGGTGGGACAATAACACTACCTGCTCAATGGGTACCAGTACTGAAATTAGCCAAGAAAAAAGGCAGCGTTTATAATGTGACTGAACTAGATACAGCAGATATCTTCAATTTGAAAGACTTATCACAACAAATGGGAAACAATTTCTCCAAAAATGAAAATAATAATTTAGTGAATTGGCCCAATATTAAGATCATTAAGGTCATGAAACAAGATCCTTATACCATCTTCTACAAGCACTCATATGCGCAAGAGGATTTTGAAAAGTTAAACATTCGACAAAGAATGAGAGGTAGATCTGCCAAAGTCATGCTGCACCCAGCTTATTCTTCACCACCAGGGATAGATGCTGGAAAGAAGAAAGATTTGCTGGACTTGTGTAAAAGTGGTGTCATTCCAAGCGTGCATGCATCATTTTATAATTCTCTGAAAGTTTCCAGTAGTGTTGAAAAAGACTGATCTCTAATTTGCTTGATAAAACCATAGCACAATTAGTGATACTTTTTTAATGGCTGTGTTAATTTTTTGTGAACTTTCTTACTTTTGTTTTTATTGTTTGTCATGTTTGAACAACATGGGTCTCATAAAACCAGAATGTAACATTACATTTTTCTGTTCTGTTAAAATAAATACTGTAACTTTATATAAAATGTATATTATTATGTAATGGCAAACAGCTGTTCTAAGTAAAAAAGAATGGCAAACAGTTGTAACTGAGAAAACAATAAAGACATTTTGAATGCAAAACTGTTGCAACTCAAAAAATATGTAATAATATAACAGAGAAAATACATTTAAATATTATTATTCCAACTCAATGTAATGACTATAATTAACATTCAAACCAAATTCCATTGATTTTAAACAACTCCCTGATTTATCAGCTGAAATTGAAAACTTCAAATGGCTCTCCTGAAAAATCTATATTTTTGAGTTGTAACTCTCTTGTTCTGAGCAGTCGAAATGTATAAATAACCATAATAGAATAATAATTGATAAAAAAATGTAGTTTTATTTGCGCTTTACCTTTGAGGATAGACGACGGAGGTGTAAACTGGTGGCGGAAGAGAGGGAGAAGGGAAATGATACTAAAGCTTAACTTACATAATGTAACAATAACTTAAAAATAACTTAGAAAAGATTTTTAAAAATTAGCATTGTTTTACATATATATATATTTAAATTTTTATTCACTGCTTTTTGCTTTCTTTCCTTCCTTCACTTCCACCAGCACTTTCACTGGATAGAGGGCACTTGGTAAAATATCTATCCAAAGAGGTTTGGCTTTGCCTACTTTTTAAAATGTTTATAAAATGACTTAGGCAAATGTCATTACTCTGAGCAGCAATACGGCTAGTGTAAACCTTTTGGGGATGTTTCTTTTCAATAAAATCAGTCACTTTCTAATAATATCTCAAGATTTTCTTTATCAAGCGAGATCCTTCTACAACGAAACAAACAAGCGGACTAAGACCAATGAACAGAAGTGAATAAAAAATGGCGCAGCGAACTAATGTAGCGTAGTATGGCAAGTTTTTTGTTTATATCGTGGAGCAAAAATATGTTCGAATTTCATGTCGTATCCTGAAAATTTCGTATGCTGGGGCGTTCGTATCCTGAGGTATCACTTTACAATTAAATCAAACTCAAGATTACTGAATTAAGTAGTTTAATAAAATATTAAATATACAAAACAAAATTTTTTTAGAAGAGTGACTGATGAACAAATAGCTGTGTGAAATTCATTAAAGTATAAATCTAGTTAATTAGTTGAGAGACAAATAGATGTTATGTATAAAGTAATCTAAGAACATTAGCTTATAATACAAAGTGTTTATAATTAAAGTTCCACTTTGAAATGGCTATAAAATGAAAACTCTACTGGACAGAATGTTATCAAACTTAGTAATAGGGTACAGGACGTCATGGGATTTTATTTCCTGTGGAAAAAAAAGTTAAACTCACCACCAACAAAAAATGGCACTGTCTGCAATATTGTTAAACAAAATAAGACATTAATACATCGTTGGAAATGTTTTTAATCAATTTTAAAACAAAACTATTTCTGGGGTTACTTCTGATATGCTAAGAGCTACTGTTGAGAACACAGTACAGTGATACCTCGACTTACGCGAACCCGGAGTTACGCGATTTTCAAATCTCGTCGATCCGTCTTTTGTGTGAGCGCCACGCAACTCTTGATTACTCATTCCCTCCACACTATTGTTCAACTTACATGTTCGGACCTGTTGCGCAGAATTGACACATAGCTACAATTTATTTTGTGTTATTTATTTGTGTGTTTGTTATATCTACGGAGACTTGACAGACTATGTGATGATTTCTTGTAACAATGAACGAATCAAAAGACGAGATAAGATTAATGAGAACATTTACTAGCTTACATACATCCGACTTGGATTTTGCACACATTGAGAAATTATACCCCGGCTTACGCGAATTCGACTTAAGCGGTTATTGCTCGGTCCCACCTATCACGTAAGTTCGGGGTATTACTGTAATGCAATGTAACTTGCTTATCAAAAATGGCGGACACCACATTTGAACATGCTCTGTAAAGCATTTTAAAACTAATTAAAAACATTTACAATGATGTCTTCATGTCTTATTTCGCTTAACAATATTGCAGACAATGCCATTTCTCGTTGGTGGTGAGTTTTTGAACTTTTTTTTTCCACAGAAAATAAAATCCCATGACATCCTGTACACTATTACCAAGTTTGATAACATTCTGTCCAGTAGAGTTTTCATTTTATAAAATGTGTATGTTAACTAGTTCATTTAGACCAAAGTCACATCTTGCTACAAGAAAACGATAGACCAAGAACAACTCTAATCTGGTAAATAATACTTTACTTTTAAAGTAACTCATTCCAGATGTTACCTTACCCATTGACTATCCTTTGTTATTTCATAAAATACTACTCTATTTCAGAATTGCAAGATTGGACTATGAGTAGCAGATTGAGATATTTGTAGGACTCTACACTACTGTATTTGAGAAACTTACTGCACTTTTGAACTGCTTTAAAAATAGTTTCAGCTAAATTTTGAAAAGTCTGTTATACTTTTTTTTATAAAATCCATCTGGTAACCTATGAGGTTCTCACAAGACACATGCTATTTACCTAAAGGTTATACTATTATTGCAAATATAGTTCACTTCACGCCAGTGTTTAGAAATTAAATATAGGACACTTCCGTGTTGCGGCATTATTGACAGCAATTTGTTAAATTTCAGATATGCTAGCTAGTACTACTTTCAACAGTTTACAACCGTCATCTTCAGGCGAAATCGAATACCTTTTTTTTGAATTGACAGCTTTTAACAGACTTTTCAAATTACGTAATGCACATGTTGGAATATAGAACAAATTAATAAAAATTGAATAAATAAATATTTTTATTTATTCAATTTTTATTCAATATGCTGTAATAACTCCACAAAACATAAATATTGAGTAATGGTGCCGTGCATGGTAGTGGAATAAAATCAGATTACAAAATTATAACTTGGATTGTTTAAATAAAGTTATCCATAGCTGTGGTATTTCCAATGTCAGCACATTACACGGCAAAGCAGCAGATATGTAAAGGTTTTCCCATATAAATATTTGCCTACTACCATTGCAATGCTTAAGTAATTTAATGTGGTTTAAGAAATTGAATAGTAAATATTATTGGTTACAGAAAACATCCTGCCACAAACGAAGTAAAATCATTGAGATTCCATATTATAATCTTGCAAATGCACCAGCAAATATCCATCAAATAATATCACAAGGTCCTAAACATATACCTACTCCAACGTTTGATTATGCACAACTCATTCCTCCCACCATCGCTGCTATAAAGAACACTTGCTGTCCAGAATTGCAACCTAAATTGGAGCTTTCTGCAATAACCAACATATCATCAAAATGAAGTTCGAAACCCAGCAAATCAAATGCACAAACTGCTCAGATAGTTAAATCATATCTTACAAGCAACCATTTAAATCTATTGATAGCAGATAAAGATAAAAGATTTGTGTTATGCAAAACCAGGATTTCCTATCAAGATCCAATGAATTCCTTCAACAGTCCAAATCAATTATACTAAAAGAGGATACAACACCAACTATACTAAGGAAGACACGTAAGAGTATTGCACTCACAGGGGTAATCAGCTTCTTTAACTGGTTCTCTTAATCCTCCAACGAACATTGCTTGCCCAAGATTAATCTTTGAAGTGAAGAGACACAAACTTGCTTGGCCTTTAAGACCATTGATTAATAAACACTCCCATCCTACATATTTCCTTGAGACAGCACTGGTAAAACATATCTGTGCTTTTGTACCTCCCTCCAACTTTGTAACCAATACCGTTTTAAATGCTAAAGCTAACATTGTAGCTACACTAAGTAACCTTCTCACTAACTCGTACCGGTTGTACAAAATAAACGTTATTTCATTATATCCATCTGTACCACATTTTGAAGCTGTCATGCTTGCTAATGCACTTCTACTGAGTTCTGGGCACCCCATATCACATGTATTACATTTGCGTGAGACTCTTATTTATCACAGAAAATAACTATTTTCAATTTAATGGCAAGAATGTACCAATGGTTAAACAAACCCAGGGTGTACCAATGGGCTCCCCCTTGTCACCTATTTTAGCAGAACTCATCATGAGGAATATAGAATATCGAATTTTCCATGCACCTTTAACAATCCACTATACTACCATGTATCTACGATACGTTGACAATATTTTCTTGCATGGGACGGCTCTGCAGAGGCTTTAGACAAATTTATTTAAATGCTAGCTTCAATATACCCTTCTATCAATTTCACTGTAGAAGAGGAGTAAGATAATAAAATTTCCTTTTTAGATTTAGAAGCGCATAGATCTTCGGAGCTAACTTTTGCGGTGCACCACAAAAACAACGGAGGGCCAGATATTATCCCTGTAACTGCTTTCTAGCCCTCAAGTTTTGTTAACTCCGCTATTACTTCGCTTATTCAGAGAGCACTCCTCATTCCATCCTTCCAAGCATTAATTGATGAAGAATTACAAATTATCAACAGAGCAGTGCACAATGCTGGATATTCTAATTCCAAATATTGATATCTCTACAACCAGGTCATAAACAAATTGTTTCCAAAATCTTTCCTCTGCAACAAAGAAAGCTTAAAGATGATAAACCTTCCAATACCGTACTTGGGCACCATCTCACTAAAAATAACACGCATATTCAGGAAGCATGGTTTTATATTACCTATAACCCCTCAACCATCACTGCGAAGAACATTGTGCAACGATAGACACACACTCACGTTAAATGAAAAATCGGGAGTTTATAAAATTCCATTCAAACATACAATATCAGGGGAGGAAACTATCTATATTGGAGCTACCACCAGAATGATACAGTGTCGCATCTTTGATCATCATGAGGACATTAGAAATAACAGACCAGCTACAGAATTAGCAAAAAAGGTTCTAGACCAAGATTATCTTCCACTTTGGAACCACATTAAATTACTTAAGCACTGCAATGATCATAGGAAAATATTTATATGGGAAAACCTTTACATATCTGCTGCTTTGCCATGTAATGCACCGACATTGGAAATACCACAGCTATGGATAACTTTATTTAAACAATTCTAGACATAATTTTGTGATCTGATTTTATTCCACTACCATGCATGGCACCATTACTAAATATTTATATGTTTTGGGGAGTTCAAGTTATTACAGCATGTTTTTTTAAAAAATTCAATTTTT